GCAGCGCTGTTGCTCCCCAGGCCGTCAGTGCGTGGCTCCCCAGGCCGTCGGTGCATGGCTCGCAGCCGCACTGTTGCTCCCCAGGCCGTCGGTGCGTTGCCCCCCTCCTTGCCGCCCCGCCACCTCCTCCCTGCTGCTGAACCATGCACAAGTTGTGTCGTCGCTGGATGACGGCGCCAAAATTCAAAGCGCTCCAGAAGTTCAAAAGTGGGGAGCGAACCTTGCCACCTGTTGTGGTTAGGCTCGCCCCCTGTTGTTTTAATGGGAGGGAAACTCAGCATCCCGTTTGAAAGCGGTAACTCAGCCAAACGTGGGTCGTGGTGCAGCCGCCAAGAGGCAAGAGCAGCATGTGAAAAATTTGAAAGAAGGTTCCTGCTTTTTTGTTTTCAGGAGGACCTGACCTTTTTTTTTTTTTCCAGGCAGGCCGACGACGGGACTTGACATTTTGTGCGTGTACCTTAACTTTTTTAGGCGGGTGGACATTTCGTGCAGGGATTTGGGGGGGTGGGGGGTCCTCATGGGTTGTCCTGGGTCTGTGGGTCGTGTGACCCAGGCCTAGCACTCACCCACCTGTCACCCACCCACTCGGGTGACCCAGGCCTAATGTTGACCCACCTGTCACCCACCCAGGCTGCTTGGCCTTGACCCACCCTCATCCCACCCAGGTCACCTTATCAAGACCTGCACCTGACCCAATGTCCTCGTGGGTGGGGTGGGTGCAGGTCTGGGTACCCGGTGCTCATCTCTGCAGTACATGGGCACCTGGGCTGCGGGCCTGACACTTCAAATTCTGGAGGCACGAAACGAAAACGCGACCGCCGATCGATTTTATCAATGGTGGGCGCAGCTTTTGACGTAGTTTTGTTCTGGCGACCGGCAGTCGGCTCCCATTTCATCGGTGGAAGTACGTACTGGTGGTTATTATGGTTCTGCCCGGCGGCAGTGGGTTCCTTTCTTTGGGGGGGGGTGGGGAGGGCAGTAGTTGGTTCGTATTCCTTTGTCAAGTCAAATGTACATAAGATACGCACTCTTGATGCTTTCCTGTGTTAACTGGCTGGTTGGCATGGTGACATGGGTGGTTAGGAAAAACATCATCATGATTAGGCATGCTACTCACGCTTGCCCTTTTCTACATATATGTGATGTCAAGACATGGATGCACGTAACTAAAGTCCTATTTTTTGTGAGTATGCCCTCATTTTGAATATCAAGTAATGTTGTGCATTGCACACCCTTCACTTGTGGATTTATTCTTTTTTCTTTTGGTCTTTTTGGTGCGGATGCACTATGTGTGATGCATCGCTGCACTGTGCCTGTTCGGCTGCTCGTCAAAGAAAAAGAGAAGTATGAGCGGCGGTGATGGCTCCTGCGGATTCCTTGCACAAGTGGTTAGTGACACCGGAACCATTCCCAAGAGTCCAAGCCATGGCAACCGGCCGGACGTCTGGACCGGGATCCAGACGGTCCGGTTGTCTGGGTATGGGTCCGGGGTCTGGTCGGGTTGGATTGGGGTAGTTTTGAAAAATTCGAATTTTTTTTGGGGGGGGGGCCTAGGATGTTTTTGGGGTTCTAGGCTGCCCCCAAAAAATGCCCCAGGTATTTTTTGACCGCTTCAGGGCCTACCAGACGCTGCCAGACGCTTCCAACAGCTCCCTTCTTCTGTTGTACTACACTGGTAGTTCATCGGATGAGGATGAGTCTGATTCCAAAAATGAAGCGCTGGCTGCAAAGCGCCACAGAACTTCCAAGCTAGAGAGAGAGAGAGAGAGAGAGAGAGAGAGAGGATTTTTGTCAGATCTGAGATCCCATCTTAGATCTGGTCCTGACCAGATCTCGGATCTGTTCTCGTACTTCCGACGCAGATCTGAATAACTTATCGGTTTAAATTTTCAATTTTCAAATGAATACGAATTAGAAAGTAACTTTGAAGTTCACATTCTGTTTAGTTCTGATTTTCGTTCTCTTTTCTAAAGTGACTTGGGATTGATTGGTCTGTTGAGAACTGGTTTCAAGTGTTGCGTGAGCCTTTGTGAATGTCTGTGACAGTATTGAGCTGTCAAGTTGGAGATAGTGAAAGACAGTAAGCTGTGTTTAGTACTGTTTACTACTAATGGTTGTTGTTGTTTTTTTGAACTTTTTTTTTTCCCCCCCCTTCGGTCTGGACATCTTTTGTGTCTGGTGTACCGGTCCGGACGGTCCGGGCCCGGTCCTGTCTGCTGTCCGGTGTGTGTCCAGGTTACCGGATGTCTGGACCAGTCCAGACAAATGTCTGGGCCTCAGTTGAGACATGTCCGGGTCTGGGTCCGGGTCCGCGGTTGCCATGGTCTAAGCCATTACTCGCTGACTTAGAGAATCATGTCGTTCAGCCACTACGACCCGGCTGCGGAGGTGTGAGCCTCCTGTTGCTCGGTTGACCAAGTGCTTTTCCACGCGCATTTCAGCAATGCTACCACTGGAGCTGTGTGGAGATGGAAGGGGTGGGGTGGGTGGGGAACAAATAGAAGGGACTTGTCCTTAGGTTTTCTCTCCAGCAATAGGGAAACACGAAATGGAGAGAGGAGGAAGGAGTGTAGTGCATACACTACAGCTGGATGAGCTGTGGATTTTTTTGGCGTGAGGGCGGGTGTCTAATCTTAGCCGCCGACTTTGTAAGGAAAGAAACCGGGACTTGTGAAAGGGCTTTCACACCCAAGAAAAAAAACAAGCCACGATTTTAGGAAATGTACAGGTCACTACAGGAGCGCCGAAATACATCCAACTCGAAATGTTTCTACTCTTTTTTTTTTCACGGCCGATAGCTGGGCGAAGTACTGTTCGTGGTTGCTACCCCACTCAAAACAGTCTACGGGTTGAGTGGTTGCTTGCGGTAAATATGAAGCAGAGCCTGGCCCAGACTATGCATCTGATTTAAGTACGGGTTGTGCGGTATATGTGTTTCCGTCGCCGCTACCTGTGTCTTCTCCCTTTTTTTGTGTGTGTTCTTCCATCGAGCTAACTTAACATTCACAATTACAGACTTCACAAGGGATGTTCCCCGAAAACTACAATCTTCCTGAGCACAACAAGGTGCCCTCGTCCTGACTGTACTGGACCAGAAAACTGGATTGTATGGGAGAAGACAGTAGCAGCATGTGAAAGTGTCTTTTTGACATCATGCGTCTACATACAGCGACCACTGCGAAGGAACCTGGAGCGTCCGTGTGATGTTGCAAAAGAGGCTTTCCCCCTTTGCCCACCATTCGTAGTATTCATGCCTTCCGGCAATATGTGATGTTGCAAAAGAGGCTTTCCCCCTTTGCCCACCATTCGTAGTATTTGTGCCTTCCGGCAATATGCGCACTCGGAAGAGTCTCATTGCCGACTTTGGCATTGCGACCAATTCCGAATGTTTTCTCTGTGGTGTGCCTGTTGGGAATGTCTTTGTCATTGCGCAACCGATTCCAACCGATCCCAACCGATCCCAAACGATCCCAACCGTTTGCTCTGTTGTGTGCCTTTGGGGAATGTCTTGTGGTGGCTTGCAGATTTGCTGGACAAGATCGGATTGGATTGTGCATAAGGTCATCCATCCCTTGGAGTTGTTGTAGCTTCTGTCACTGCTGGTGATGGGGAAATATGGCACTACTCCTCCTCCGGAGAATCCTGTTTATCTCGGCACCCTTGACGTGAGGAAGGCCAGGACGCAATTATGCAGTGTCATTGCTGTCCTCTGCTGCGCTTTCACTTTTGATCTTGTATCTGTGGTGGTAAGAGAGCTGACTTCTATTCATCAAATCAACTCACATCCTTGATGAGGTGGCAATGTCATTGTGGCCCTCTTTCCCCCCTTCTCTTGCCTTTGTTGGTAGTTAGAACCCATAACTTTGTTTAGAATATCATACACGGCTGACGTGACCAACCATCTGTTTAGATGCACATACTCTTTTACTTGTCTGGTTCTCTTATCCCTTCCTTTCGCTTCCCTTGCATTGCTTTGCTGTTCGTCTAATTTGTTTCTTGCTCACGATTTGCTGTGATCTGCCGTTGCCACGTGGTGTGCTAACTTCAAGTTCAGACCATGTGGCTTGGTTTGTCATCAAAGCCATGTGGTTTGGTTTGATGGTTGAACTGTGTACTTCAAAATCATGTGTTATTGGGTTGCTATCAAACCACATGGTTTTTTGTAGTGTAAACCGGATGGTTTGTTTTGTTACCATGTTCAAGCCACATGGTTTGTTGTGTAAACCAGATGGTTTGTTCTGTGAAGTTTGTAAACCATGCGGTGTGTTGCTTAAAGTTTAAACCAACTAATTGAAGATGATGAATGATGATGAGCATTAATCGTCATCATCTTGGTCTGAGGGGCAACAGTGGATGATGAGCATTAATCGTCATCATCTTGGTCTGAGGGGCAACAGTGGTTCAGCTGACCAAGGAAGGGCGCATACCATGGCTAGACAAGTTTATGAAGAGCGTGACAGGGTGGGACAATCATGACTATGCCTGGTTTGCTGAACCCAAATCCTGCGTTCCAGCGCACTTTTTAGGGCAACGTACTGCTTGTACGTTGGAGGAAAGGTGGGAGGAACACAAGAGAATGGCGAAACAAAGGAGGGCAAAAAAGGGCGCATACCATGGCTAGACAAGTTTATGAAGAGCGTGACAGGGTGGGGCAAGCATGACTACGCCTGGGCTGAACCTAAATCCTGCATATACGCATTGGTGTCACCACTTTTTAGGGCAACATACATCAGTCAGACCGCTCATACGTTGGAGGAAAGGAGGGAGGAACACAAGAGAATGGAAAAACAAAGGAGGAGGGCAGACAACACAAGCTGTGCCGATGGATGAAAAAGAAGGGATGGCGTGAGTACATGGCCATCCCTTTGGTGAGTGGTATGAAGGACGAACTGCAAAAGTTGGAAGGCTTCTACATTAGGAATTTATTCCCGGTGTTGAACACCAAAGAAAGGAGAGCACGGCACAAGAAGAACAGACCAGGAAGGAGAGATGCGGCAAGAACAAACAAGATGGAACAAACAACGGTCTAGCTACTGTCCTGATCGAGTCGATATGAAGGGTAGTCGTTGTGTAGGCTCTTATCAAAGAGTGAGAAGAACACAACAGTGAAGGTATGCCAAGGCACACGATGGTGCGCGGATTGGTCAGTGGTCAAGCGGCAATATGGCATGACTGAGATCCTGTGGAAAAGGGGGAAGGCTCTCCTCAGGCACGAACGCTTGAGGGAGATAGTTGGCAGCAGCTTCGAGGTGGCGCATATGGTTATGACAAAGAACAACCACTGTCACCAACTGCTGACTGCCCTTCTCCGCATACCGCAGTACCGTAAGACACTACACTAAGAAGAGTTTTACATTGGTCTGCCAAGTCCGTCTTTACCATGCGGTCAGAGAGTTTCAAAAGAAGGGAAAGAGGGGAATAGTGTCATATCCAGGACAGTCAGAGCAATGTACGGGTTGAATGTTAGAAGACGACTGATAGTAAGAGTCAGATTCGAGGAGGGAATAAGTCTATACGGATTGACGAGGTGTTGTAAGAAGAGAGTGAAACTTATGAGAGTCAAGTAATAGCTGAATTCGTTTGCAGACGCATGAGGGTGGTGTGGATACGGGACAAGACCAGTGGCGAACTGGTTTCCAACCACCGACGATATGCGAAGATGGAGTTGGGTGAACCAGAGTGCACATGTGCAGAGATGGATTGGCCAAAGGACGAAGAAGGGGATGTATGTTTTTGTTTTTTGGAGTTGAAGGAAATAACCAAGGATTTGAAGAATTCACGGAATGTACCAAGACCAGGCAACGACGATGGACGGGAACTGGCCCAACTGCGAGGCACAAGGCCTCGATACGCCGTACTGGGCCCCATTTTCAGCATAGTCGGCCGCCCTAAGTGAAGACAGGCTCGACTGAGGCCTACAGGCCATTTTTGGGGTCACCACACAACTGGGGAAATCCAGGCAGTTGCACAGTGCCAGTTGGTTGAGAGCGCCCAGACCCAGGCTGCCTTTCATGGTATGTAACTGAGGCAGGCCCTGGGCCGGATACACAACATGGACCGAACAAAGGCTGAGGACAGTTGGGCGCTGGTAACCACCACAGGCCCCGGGCCTGTTTCCTTAGATTGAGGCTCAGCCTCGTGGGGCCTACCGGAAGCTTCTGGGCCAAGGCCCAGTACCGTATTACCGCACGCAGCAGCAGGCCATTTCGATATAGGGAAGGGCCTGCCCACGCATTGGATTTCGGGCACTAGCTGCATGCTGCGCTAACGCTGGCCAGCGCTCACGCGCTTACGGGTGAGCTGGAAGGAGCAGGCAGCCATAGCCGAGCTGCACTGCTGTGTGCTGGATGGGGCGCATGGTGGTTCTTGGGTGCATGTGGCATCTGTGAGTTGGGGATTGAGGTTGTGAGTGATACGAGAGACATGCCTGGTGCTTGAGGCGAATGGCATTGACCGAGATCTGCTAGTACTTCGGGGAGCTGTTGACGTCATCAGCGGCATTGTAGATAGGCTAGATAGGATCTGCCATTTGTAGTCTGGGCGCCGAGCGCCAGATAGGATATCGACATTGGTTCTTCGTTGATGATGATGATACTATTCCAGCATTGTCAATTATGAGCTTTTGCTGTGCTCTTATTTGGTGAAACTCGTGATGGAATTCTGCTATTGGTTCGAGGTCACGACTATCTGGTCTCATGTGTATAATGCTGTTTGATTTCTGAAGTTCGCTATTGCTCATTTTCCTTGCAATTTGGTGTCAGAGCTGTGGTATGTTGCGCTCATGTGGCGCTTGTCTTCTGCCTATGCGGTACATGCATGCGGTCTGCTGGGCGAGCGACCGTAGGGAGTGTGTAGTGAGGAGGGCGAAGGCAAGCAGGCGACCCAGGAGGAGAGGGGATCGCCAGGAAGGCTATGTGGTGAATATTGGGTGTTCGTAGTGTGATGAGAACTGTCTGATGTGCGATTGATGTTGAGATGGAACGGCGGTGTAATGCTGGTTGTGCCGAAGCAGCGATTGGTCATCACAATCGACATTGGGTCATCTGGTGAGAATATATGTGGTTGGGGGCAGCTATTTTGAGGTACGTTGCACCTAACCTCATCTACCCTCTTCGAAACTTCTTACCGTGAGGATTTGTGTTTTGTCTTGAGAGTCCTCTCATGTGAGGTGTCGTGTGCACTCGACCTTGAGAGTCGTCGGTGTTCACGTGGAGCATCTAGAAGGAGAGGGCGGAGCTATTTGAAGGGCCCTGGACGAAGCGCTGGGTCACGGTCACCATGCCAACCCACAGGGAGTAGAGCACGCATGCTTTGTTGCTTTGTCCTTTGTCTGCTCGCTGCGATATAGAGGGGTTCTGAGGGGCAAGCCAGCCCTATGGGAAAGACGAGTAGGGGCAGGCCAGCCCTATGGGAAAGACGAGTACCGGACGTCTATAAATAAGTACCGGCGGGGACCTTCCATTGGCTGTGATCGTCGTCGTGTTTGCGACGTTAAATAATTCCTGAGGACTTCGGGGGCCGTCCATAAAAACGCCTCCTGATCAGCCAATTGGTCGTTGTAAGGCTCGCTGCAAGTGAGAATAAAAATTGTGCAGGGCTGGCCAGCTCAGTGGGACTCGGGGCGCAAGGGTGGGCTGTGTGCACACCTTTAGACACGCACGTTGTCCGGATTGCTCAGGGACGATGCCGACAAGAGACATTCAGGAAGAATTGAGGGAGAGGTAGATTCCAGGTGTTAAGTTTGGGAAAGATTCCACTCTGCAAACAAACCCAACAAATGATTCTGTTTTTATCTTGATTAGTTAGATGTACAGCCATTAACATCTGACAGACACCATAGTTTGTTTTCTGTTCATTGTGCTTTCTGATTGCGGACTAGTCAAATTAAAATAGTTTTGTTTGTAGGAATTTGAGCTTACCTGTTGGACCCAAATGTGTAGTCTTTGACATAGACACCGATTATTAATTTTATTTATTTGAAATTGGTCTATACATCATCCTGCGGTAGGCATCAAGAGTGTCCTAGTGCAAATTGTGTATGGTGTTGTAGCCTATGAGTGATAGGGAGGTCCCACAACCGGACAACAGGATCTTGCGATCGACAAGACACCCGATAGCCCACTTGTCATCAGGACCAGAGGGCGACAGACCCTTGTTCCGCCAGCAGAGAGAGGTAGCAACAGAAGCGTAGAGCTAGGGCCGCAGAGGCAAGCAGGGCATTCACAAGTGAGGCCGCTACTTCAGCAGCCATGGCATCTGTTGCGTAGCAGAGCTCTCAGGCTAGTGTCAAGTTTTGTAGGGTCAACGGTCGCACATACCCTGAGTCAGTCCATGGCGTCTTGGCAAGCCAGCCAATTGTGTTGACCCTCGAGGAGGTCGCCATACAACAAGCAACGATTTGCGAGGCACAGCTACAGCAGGCGTTAGGAGAAATTAAGGCAGAAAAAGAGAAAATGATTAGAAGGAGAGCCAGGATGCAGTGGAGGCAAGCGGACTAGTGAGTTGGAGGAGATGGACCTGACGAACATGGATGATGATGTGAGGACCCTACAGTCCGTCTTGCTAGATGTAGCAGAAATGCAGGACCACCAGATGACTCTCCTTCAGGACATTCAGCAGAGTCTGGCCGTACTGGTCGGACGAGCGCAGGCAGCACCGTCGTCGTTCGGGCCCTGTGCCTGGCCCATTGTACATCCTCCTCCTTTCGTCCCACTTATGACTGGAGTATCCCCATATGTTTCTCTAG